AAATTTACATAACTCCAGTTTCAAGTCATGTGCATACCAGATTGCATATTTAATTTATAATTTTGCTGATTCATATATTTAGTGTGTGTGTGTGTGAGGGGTGGAGGCCAGCACAACCACAGGCCTCCCCACCACCGATGGAGACTCAGTCACGTCGTTTCTGCGGAAAGTCTCACCTCTCTAATGTGTGTAGAAACAGACTTAATCTGGGTGAGAAAATAGTTCCCAGATGCTGCAACTGTGGAGGCGTTCACAATGCCAGCTCAGCTGTGTGTAGCAAGAGGCCGAGTATGGGTGTTATCCGGCCGGTGAATGTTACAGAGCAAGCAAGAGCTCTTACCCAGACACCGGGAGCACAGCAAAACAGTCTGACCCAAACAGCACCAGTGAACCGGACGAATGCGTGGGTAAAGGAGTCACCTTTACTTCGTCAGGCTCAAGCAACAAGCAGCCACGCCACCACTCAGGACTCCGGCAGTGACAATGTAACGGTGAGTGAAGTGGCTACTGTGGCTCAGAAAGAGGGTCATAATAATATGGTCAAGGAGGTGTGGGCTGAACTAAGAAAAGTTGGTGAGTTCCTCCAAAATCTTGGGCAGAGAATCGAGTCCATCGAGGCGAAATTAAACGTTCAGGAGGTCAAGGAAATTCACAAAACTGTGAAGGAAAATCAGGATATAGTGGTTGAGGGCAATAATGAAATATTGAGTGATGAAATGAAGGAAAGTGAAGTGTGTGTGAATGATGGTAGTCGTAGTGAAAGGAAGAACCCTATAATTACACATAAAATGAAGGAATCATTTGGGCCAATAATGGACGTCACAGGGCTGAAAAAATCTCTTGAGAATCGCAATGTCGCTTCTACTGGTGAACTTGGGAGGAGGTGGGAGATGTTATGCAAGATATGGCTATCATTTAGTGAATTTATTGGGGATGACTTAGGCAGTGAATTGATTAATAATGGATCACCCTAGACTGAAAGTTTTGTCATGGAATGTTAATGGTTTAAGAAACAGGGTTACAGATGTTCATTGTTATGTGATGGGAAATGATATTGATGTTGTAGCTCTCCAGGAGACAGGGGATAGGAATGAAGGCTTATTGAAATTAAATGGTTATAAAGGGTTTCACCTCTTCGCCGCAAATAACATCAGAGGAACGTCGATTTATGTAAAGAACTCCATACCAGCAGAGTTAGTAGAACCGCCATCAAAAACGCAAGGTATAGAGAGTGTCTGTGTTAAATTATCATTAAGGGACGGGGAATTTATTGTAGTTAATTTGTATGTATCCAGGAACTGCTTCGACGCTAACTATCTATCTGACTGCATTTATACTGATCCTTCACTGGTCATTGGGGACCTTAATGCTCGGCACTCAAGCCTTGGGACAGTGGGTAGCATTAGTACTAATGGGGTCAAGTGGTTACAGTTTCTACAAGATCATCCAGATACCTGTCTATTGGGAAACAATGAACCAACTCACATCAGGGGAGGACGGCTTGACTATGCCTGCATTTTAAACTCTCAGGGGATTATGGGGGAGGCTCGGGTTGTTCGGGAACTACTTAGTGACCACTTTGCCTTGAACATTGAATTACCACTGGGGAAAAAACAAGTCCACTTTCAAAGGAAAAGGCTAAATATTAATAAAGATATGAAAAATTATTTTATTCAAAATATGGGAGATTGGTATCAACAATACACGCCGCTCTGCGTTAATAGTTTTTACGAGGATATGGTCGAGAACATAGAGAAATTAGTACAGAGGGAAAATAACGGGGGCAGGGGAAGCAAGACGCATGGACCTAAGAAATTTAAATATTCCAATGATCAGCAAGTCAAGGGGTGGGAGAGAATGCTACGGAGTGCACATAAAGAATGGTTAAAAAATGGAATGAGGGATGAAGAGAAAAATACAATGTTGGAAGTGGCTAGGGAATGCAGTCAGGTGAGGAAGGAGGCGCGGGACAGATACTGGCAAGACTTTGCTCAGTCCATTGGTAATACTAAGAACCTTAAAGACATTTGGAGAGCAGTAAATAAAGTCAGGGGTTGTAAGACCAAATTCATTGCTCACTCAGATCCAGGGAAGGTTGCTAATGAGTTAGTAGATAAATGGGCTAGTGCTGCTGGTATGGAGTCCTTACCTGCAGACACGAGAGTCACCATTGAGTCATGGGAAAATATTAGAAATGGAGTAACTTTATGTGCCTTAAATACAAGGTCTATAACATGCACTGAGATAACTCACGATGAGCTACTGGATGCTATAAAAAGTGGAAGCTCTACTGCTCCCGGGAAAGATGGAGTAACGTATGACATTCTTAATTATTTAGCCGGTATGAAACCTAGTCCCTTACTTGATTTGTTTAATATGAGTTATAGAGAGGGAAAGTTGCCAAGAAAATGGAAAGAGGCTGTCATCATTCCTATCCCTAAGTCAAACGGAGGCTACAGACCTGTCTCCTTAATATCCTGCTTTTGTAAAATGATGGAAAGGATTTTGTTAAATAGGCTACTCTACCTTGTAGGTGATAACATGTCCAGTAATCTCTTTGGTTTTATCAAAGGCAAAAGTACTGCGGATTGTCTCTTAAAGTGTTTGTCTAATATGGATGACAATTGTAGAGTTTTTGTTGATCTACAAGGAGCATTTGATAAAGCCAATGGGGAAGTAATCTTATACGAATTAGCCAATCTGGGAATAACAGGGAAATTGCTACACTGGATAAGGGATTATCTACAAGGCAGAAAAGGTCAGGTGTATTATCAGGGATACATGTCTGAGGAACGGAGGTTTCAGTTAGGTACCCCACAAGGGGGAGTATTAAGTCCCACCTTATTCAATGTATTAATAAACAGATTAGCATCAGAGATGTATCCTCCAGGGGTCACGACGATCATATATGCTGATGACATTCTTATACAAGGCACTTCCGGGAACAAAATTCAAACTGCTCTTAACATACTTGGTACAACCTGTCACAAGTTAGGCTTAGTTATAAATGCAGATAAAACCAAATATGAGTATAGGAAACGAAGAAATATAACACTTACTCTAAATGGCGTGGAACTGAGCCGTGTTCAGAAGTACAAGTATCTGGGCATGTATGTTGGATACACATGTGAGAGTAAAAATGCTGAAATAAATCATATCAGCACCTTATGTAAAGCCCGTCTGCATCCTCTAAAAGCACTGGCTTTTTCTGGTAAAGGTGTTGGGGTACCTATCTTACGGATGTTATACATAAGCACTGTTCGGTCCCTGATAGACTACGCAGCACCCGTTTTGTCTTACACAGGCCAAGGCAGAATTAAAAAAATAGAGCTGATACAGAACGAGGCTATGAGGATTATTCTTGGATGTCAAAGAAATGCAATGATTGAAATAATGAGAATGGAATTAAATTTACAGAGTGTGTGTGATAGAGTCCGTGACATTAACACTAGAGTAGCTATTCGTTTCATGCGGAGAAAAGGAGGGGATAAGTTGTTTGAGAGCGTTCAGACCTGCTTGAGTGACGTACACACTTCCAGGAAACTGAGGGAGACACGCTACACGAGGGGATTAGCTCATGACCTCAGGGAATACGATGTACTTGACTGCTGTAAACCCTCTCAACAGTGTAATATGTCTGCTCCCTGGAAAGTACAGAAAATAGACGTCGAAATTGTACCCCTCAAGGTGAAAAAGATTCATCATGAACCGGGACAATTACGGTGTTTGTATGGAAGCATGATATCTCGGTTACCAAGAGGCAACAGTTTACATGTATATTGCGACGGGTCGGTGGCGGAGGATGGCAGGGCAGGGTGTGGTGTCCTAATAAGGGAATATACGGAGTTTGGGACTGTGGACAGGATAATTGAACTCCGGCTTAGTAATTATATATCATCTACACAAGCTGAACTGCAGGCCATTCTGGCGTGTTTGGAGGAAGTACGTCATGACGACAAAAATGTTTTTGTATTTGTCGATAGCCGAGGAGCACTGGAGTCCTTAAACAGTCGAAACCCAGTCTTCATGTCTATAGTTGAGGATTGTAAGAGAAGAATAACTGAGATACAGCTGAAAGGTCATAGTGTGAAATTCATGTGGATTCCATCTCATGTTGGAATAGTGCTCAACGAGGTGGCGGATGACTTGGCCAAACGTGCCACATCAAAACCACAAATGGACATTGAATGTGAATTCACAATGAGACAAATAAGAAGCAAAATCAGAAATATTCAGGCACAGGCAGGAGTGGAGAGGAGAGGGATAATGTATGAGAGAAGTCTAACCATGCAACACTACATGTATGTGAGTCAAAACACCCATTTCACTTATGGTAAAAGGAGAAATGCTTGGAGTGACTCTGTGTACATGCGGCTCAGCCTTGGGTACAAATATTACTGGGAATATGGGATAGGTGTTCATGATAATTACACGAAGTGTAAACTATGTGGTATGTTAAGGTCTCACACCCTTGCCCATTATGCTCTTGATTGTCCGTTGATTAATGTATATAGAAACACTGAGATAAGGACTGTTCCTGAGCAAATAGCCTGGATGTGTCACAAAGGAAAGGTTGATGATATTCTTGAGAGATATAAGAATTTTGCACCAAGACTGTAATATTTTGTTGAATTATCCGTATAACTAGGTCATAAAAGTATTTGTGTACGTCTGATACCATACTACTTGTGAAGGAGGAAATGTACATGATTATCTCTCAGAATGTTTGGTAACAGGTTTATTGTTTGTGATGTGTGTCTATGTATGTACTAACACGTTGTACTGAACGGGGTGAGAATAGCTTGAGCTACCTCATCCCTTTGTGTGTATTTTACCTCAATAAACTTATTTCAATTTCAATTTCACTTCCTGCGACGGCCCTTGGCGACTTCCTGGGACGGCCCTTGGCTTCTCCCTGAGGAGTCCCTTGTCGACTCCCTGGGGCGTCCCTTGGCGACTTCCTGCGACGGCCCTTGGCGACTTCCTGGGACGGCCCTTGGCTACTCCCTGAGGAGACCCTTGGCGACTCCCTGGGGCGTCCTTTGGCGACTCCCTGGGGCGTCTCTTGGCGACTCCCTGGGGTGTCCCTTGGCGACTCCCTTGGGCGTCCCTTGGCGACTCCCTGGGGCATCCCTTGGCGACTCCCTGGGCGTCCCTTGGCGACTTTCTGGGACGGCCCTTGGCGACTCCTTGGGGAGTCCCTTGGCGACTCCCTGGGGAGTCCCTTGGCGACTCCCTGGGGCGTCCCTTGGCGACTTTCTGGCACGGCCCTTGGCGACTCCTTGGGGAGTCCCTTGGCGACTCCCTGGGGAGTCTCTTGGCGACTCCCTGGCGAATCCCTTGGCGACTCCCTGGGGCGTCCCTTGGCAACTTCGTGGGCCGTCCCTTGGCGACTTCCTGGGACGGCCCTTGGCGACTCCCTGGGGCGTCCCTTGGCAACTCCCTGAGGAGTCCCTAGGCGACTTCCTGGGGAGTCCCTTGTCGACTCCCTGGGGCGTCCCTTGGCGACTTCCTGCGACGGCCCTTGGCGACTTCCTGGGACGTCCCTTGGCTACTCCCTGAGGAGTCCCTTGTCGACTCCCTGGGGCGTCCCTTGTCGACTTCCTGCGACGGCCCTTGGCGACTTCCTGGGACGGCCCTTGGCTACTCCCTGAGGAGACCCTTGGCGACTCCCTGGGGCGTCCTTTGGCGACTCCCTGGGGCGTCTCTTGGCGACTCCCTGGGGCGTCCCTTGGCGACTCCCTGGGGAGTCCGTTGGCGACTCCCTGGGGCGTCCCTTGGCGACTCCCTGGGTCACATAGTCACAACTACATTAAATGATCGACGTTAAGTGATTCTTTCTGCCAAGACATATAAACCCAAGCTCCTAGAATCCTGTTCAGAACATTGTATACTGTTCAACACCTTGAGAAAGGATGAGGTTTACATCCGGAAACTTGGTTTTGAATATACCTACACATATATTGGGTCTTTCCTTCCCCTTCGTTCTGTATTGTTCAGTCTCTGTAATTTCAATCAACATTTGGGAATATTGGTCAGAAACCGGTAAAAAAATCCATAAACGGTCAGGTTAAAATTATAATTATATTATGATTAGTAACGGAGACTTGCTTCTATGGGACCCCCACTTGATGTGTAGTGTGTGTGTGTAGTTCTGGTCACTGTACTCTAGAAAGGGTGTGAGCAAAAGTACCAGCTTCATCCATGTCCTCATGCCTTATTTAGCAAACTATGCTGTAACTGACTTTTTTCAATATTTACAGACATTTTTTTTAGATATATATATAAGAGTTGTTACATTCTTGTACAGCCACTAGTAGGCGTAGCGTTTCGGGTAATGCCATAACATTCCTCTTGCTTCTTGAGTAACTTTATTACTCTTTATATGAAGTTACTGTACTTCAATCTTCTTCCTCTGACTCTAAGAGGAAAACACTTTTCAACATCTCAGTTAATTCCATTTGAGATTATTTTCAGCACATAATAGACAGTCCAGATTAACATCTACACACGCTTCATAGACACTTGATATCCTTTATTGTGATATCTTGTCATTTAATTATATTGCATCTACGCTTAACATCATTTATGAATGTTGCTCATAAGCAATTCTGCCCTCGATCTGAAATTTATATCACCGCTTTTGGCACTTTCGGGCTGCCGAGTGGAGCAATCGTAGGAAGCTGTGTCTTCATTTTCCCCAAGAGGTGACTATTGATTTTCGTTGTGTAATACACGCAATTATCAAGAATATGTGCTTGAAACTGTCATTGTTTCAGTGGAAGTTTTCATCCCAGTGTCACTGTTCATGCCCTCTCCCACCTCTACGCCTTGGTTTGTTGGGCCCGGCTCCTAGCAACTCCCAGCAATTAGAAATGCTCTATAGCTGCCTCTTCGTCTGAAAATACCAGCTAATACAGACTGATTTCCGGAAGACCTGTGTTCTACTGGGGGTAATTTATCATACCCTTGTCATATATTGTCATCTTCAAATTGCGAATATGTTAACATTTCTTTTTATTGTAAAGACCTGTATAAATCTAAAGCTTTTATCAAAGGCACGAATCTTAACTGGCTAAGCTCTAATCTCTCGTTTGTTGAGGCATCTTATTTCAGACTTTTCTTATACGGTAAATGATTCATTGTCTTAATTTGGTTCAACTCCCTCCTCAAACACAATCTGTGGAGTTCTACAAAACTCTGCTGAGGTAACTATTACTTATTTATCAGTGATACATAATCACTGATAAATAATATTTAATTGGGATAAATAATTCATTAACAATATTAATGTAAATGGTCCAGACTTCCTCAGGTAACATTCTGTTCTTGCAGCTCTCACTATATTTCCATCTTTGGGTTTAGGCCTTTTATGTCTGATCTTAATTTCATTTACTTAGACATTTTGTAAAATTGAATTTCAATGAAGCAGTTTTTACCAATTACATTAATCAACTTTCACTGACTGCACCTGAACTTTCAGTATCTTGCAATATCTCGGGCATAACAGTTACGTCACTTCAGATCAGGAAACCTGAGAGGACGAAATCAATCAGGAGTACTTGAATATTTACTTCAGTCAGCCCTGTTGACTTGCCTTGGTACTTCGTGTTTTATTATATAAGAATGATTACAAATAAAAGGAAGGCAGTATAATGACTAGGGTTCTAGATCCTCGGGTGCTGGACAAGACCTGAGGAGAGTGTGCGCTTACCCTCCGGACTGGCACATGGATGCCCTGTAATGACCGCTTTCCCTGTCGTAATAACCGCGGCCTCTATTGTAATAACCCAATGTTCCCTAGTATTAATCCTGTTATCTTGTGATCTCTCATAATCGTACTATACGCTCTCTGTCGTAATTCTCTGTCTCTCTTCACTCAATACCCCAGCTTAACACTGTTACAGTCCAGCATGAACCCTCACTGGACTGCCACGTTTATAAGAGGAATATTAAATGAGGAAGATACACCAAGGACAAGGGTTATTCGCTTATTACTAATTATAAAATAAAAAACCATTAAAGCACTGCCACCACCTTCCCGACTAACCATACCTGAATGTGTCGATCACCGATCCCCCAGGAAGGCAAGGAATCAGTAACCATGGGACTCCGGGTAATATGAATTTCAGTAATAAATTTTGGAAAATTAGTTTGTGTAATTTACGTTACTAATTTAAATCCAATGGCAACTTTAGTATCGATTAATTGTAGGAGAACCTAAGGGCTTCCAATACAACACCTAAAAATGACAAAGTAGCAAAATATATAAAAGGGGAGTTAAGTGAATACCACTGAACAAGCTATACAATTTATTTTATGAAACATGTAAATTAAGACAATTTGAACACATAACCTATTCTATTTCCCTAGAGGCACAATGGATATTTATTGAGGACACGAAACTCAAGTGCTACTATACCTTAAATACCCGAACTACGGCCACGATGTTGATGGCTGCCCTCAGCCCCGAGGATACGGGCTTGCGGCCCTGTTCCTAATACACTCCCAAGACACACTAATGAAATTTAGTTTTTCCAACTTATTGCTGGGAAGGATTACTCCTCCCACCATCTAATACAGCCCCAGGGCTCCACCCATTATTTTGGCAATGGCCAACCATTTAACACGTAGGCCTGAGGTCTGGCTCTCTAGGGCCAATAAGGACTTGGCCCTTATCTCAGGCCAATCACCTTCACTGATCTGCCGTGGAAAGCTACATGAATTCCTGAAGATTGAGTCAGCTCTCCCCAGCTAAGAGAAGGGGGACAAGGCGCCTCTATGGAGCCCCAGGCACCTGCGAGCAATGTTTACAAAACTGATAAATTATGTTCAAGCCTGTCTCCTCTAAGATAGCGAGTAGGGACATTTGACTCTGCCTCGTATGGGGAAGAGGCCGGTGCTGAGAGGGAAAGAGAGGGAATGAGAGGGGGAAGTTGAGTGGGAGAAGCCAAGGTATCCAAGACCACCCCACCCTCAGGTCAACCTCTTGACCCTGACAAATGGGCGACAGGGGGGGGGGAAGAGGAGGATACGAATGACGGCCAAGGGGAGGGGAGAAGGAAGGAGGGGAGAGGGAGAAGGAAAGGAGGGGAGAAGGAGAAGGAAAGGAGGGGAGAAGGAGAAGGAAAGGAGGGGAGAAGGGAGAACTAATGATCTGAGCCCCAGATCAATACAACTCCCCCTCCTCGGAAATTAAGAAATTTGTGTGTAAAGCAAGTTACACACACTTTTCTTATCCAGAAATCCTGCCCTACCCTAACCATTAACTCCAAAAACAACATTTTTAACCCAACACTATTTTCAACCAATTCCTCAAAACAAAAGAAATTCTCTAATCCTAACTAATTCCATACAATACTCCAACAACAATAACGGCACACCCAAAAGGTGTGCCCCAGCATGTATTTATACCTATCAACACAACAGTAATAATACATAAAACATAAGGACAGAGACCGTCCCTATAACCCTGACTGTCCATCTTGGGTGAAGCCCCATACCCTTCCAACTACCTGGAAGACAAAACATCCTATACCTGTCTTGATATAGTAACAAATAACTGGAGAAATCCAAATCTAACAATTATCAACTAGCTAAAATCAGCCGATAGCCTTCAGCTATCCCAGTATTCCACCCGGAATAAAGATCAACCACATCACACAAAACATTAAAAAAAAATCAATGTCATTAAAAAAATTAACAAAATTATAAAATTATATCAGAATAGAGGAACACTACCTCTCAGGGACCTACTGTTCCACTCCACACCTGTGGCAACTGTCCACCACAGCGCATCCCAATCTTAAAATCTAAAGAAAAGACACAGAAATATTTTTATTATTAAAAAAAAATTCAATGTCCACAGACATGTCCCTCAACCAACAACAACACTCTGGATATAAGTTCCTCAAACTCCTAATATCCCAGAGTTCATATTCAAGTCCACAACAACAGCGGGTGAACACATTTGTCAGACTGTGTACCACACCCTTATTGTTCAGTAAACCACAAAAATAAAATTAAAAAAAATATATGTATAACTATCAGTATCTAGGATCTAGAAAAATCTAGATAAAGTTTCCCGCTGATCAACGTTTCTAGAGACCCAACTAGATGGTTTTCAAACCAGTTCACTCATACAATTTATCTAGAGACAGGGTCATTTTCTAATGTTCACTTTTCTAGATTTATTTCTCTATTTCACTAGTTCTGGTTTTCAACATTTAATACTGGTCCAGAGAACTTTCCGAAGGTGTATAGGTGTTTACCATCAGAAGGAAAATTAAAAGTTGAACTGTTCCGAGTTAACACAGTTTACTATATTAATAGCGTTTATTTTCATATGAAACTTTTCTATAAATATTTTCTCTCGTTCGTTCCTGTTGACATTTCGTTGCTGTAGATTCCGGCGACTACCTCATGTTGCTTGAAGATCCTGGTCGTCTGGAAGTTCCATTTCCGGCCTCGGCCAACTACGGACAGTACAGGGGGTCTCGTACTACCCGCACCTGACTTGAGTGACAGCTGACAGCTGGCGGCTGTCAGCTCAGGTGGACCCCGCTAACAGGAACCCGGGTTCACCTCTTCCTATCGCTCCCCAAACAGTCTTGATGGATTGTTGTTAACCATGGCTGCCACAGTAGAGCACAGCTTCGACGTGTCACGATGTCTCGCGTTGGTAGTGAGGTTCGAGTGGTGTTGAAGAGGGTGGCATGGTGACGGGACAGGTGGGCCCTGCCTCAGCTCCTGGGCGACGTCATCTACCGGCGTTACTTGTTATCCCGGTACTACTGGGCCGGTACACCTTCCGTGCAACCCCTCGTGCAGCTGAACTTGGGCCGAGGTACAGGATTGTACCTCATCTGGCGATTCCGCAAGCACTCTGTAGGGGTAGTGCTGTTCGTACCTGAGACCACCGCGTTGCATCTTGGTTTCCACAGACGACGCAACCGCAGGTTTTGAGAGAGCTGACAAGTCCTTGCAATTAGCGTTCTTCTTCGTAGACCACTCGTCTTCCACTTCCGGTATTCCCGCAGTCTTGACTACGCGGCTGGCGGGCTTGGTTGGTGACCTTGAGACAGCTAGCCCACGGTTGTGATGGTGACTGCACTCTGCTCCGTGAAGACAGCATGGCTGGACTGGGACAACCTCGTTAGTGACGTGAGGTGTCGGCCGGGTGACTGTACGCCAGTCACCCCTTCCGGATAACCAATTGACGAGTTACCGGGTACAAGGGGGAGGACTTTATGTAACGTGCCTCAGACCCCGATCTTATCAGCCAGGTGGGTCATCCCCAGACCTGCTGATCTCGATCCTTGGTTCACGTGTGACTGGGAGTTTGGAACTGGTGTACCATCAGACCTGAGAAAGGCAGACAACAACAAATGGCGGAAGCATGGATATTACTCTGAGGTATAGGAAGTTGGAAACCCCAGAGCAAGGCAAGTATGCTACCTGAGTCATGCACATCAGTAAATACACACCAGTGCCTCTATAGGATAATTATTATGAAATTACTAAACCTGACTACGGGAGCTCACTAACAATTTACTGTACAGCTCGCGACCTTGTTACCATGGGGTGACAAGATTGAACTTGACTACTGATGAAATCTGACAGAAGGTCATCCTCATCATCTGACTCAGCACTTGGATCATTAGACAGGTCAGGAATTAGACTTGCTGAAGGCAGCTCTAGTTCCTCCCTCGCGTGATAAGGTTTTAATTTATTAATGTAAATCGTTCTCTCAACTTGGTCTTCAAAAATACCTTTAATAACAAAATTAACCGGACCTTTTCTTTCAATTACCCGGTAAGGGCCCCGCCATCTAGGTGCAAGTTTCCTACTCTGATTGGCAGGAGCCGCCTCATTAACTCTCAACACAAGACTCCCGACTTTCAACTCAAGAGGTCGTACCTTCTTGTCATAATGCTGAGCATAGCTGTCTTGGAAGCCCTGGCTGCAATTCTCCATGCATTTTTCATCTTATTTAAAACTTCTGATGGGTAATCTTCCCCATATACAATATTATGTCTGTTAAGCAGACCTGACGGGAAATTACATGAATGCCCTGTGAACAGCAAAAGGGGTTGGGTGTTAATGGATCGATGGATGGCAGTGTTCAGAGCCAACTGGACATAGGGGAGTTGTTCGTCCCATGAATTTGCATCATGCTCTGCAAGAATTGCAAGCATATCTTTTAACTGACCGGTTCGTCCGTTCTGTCATGCCGTTAGCCTGAGGGTGATAAGCCGTCGTGGTTTCTACAATTTTACATACTTCTCTAAAAATATTCCCATTAAATTCCTGACCTCGTTCAGAAACTAACACTTTAGGGGGACCGAATACAGTGACGAACCTATCTAAGAACGCCTTTGCAACAGTTCGTGAATCCTTCTGAGGCAATGCAATCAGTGTGGTGTACCTGGACAGGTGGTCTACCAACACCAATACGTAACGGTTTCCTGAATGACTGTGATGCAGATCAATCAGATCAGCCCCCACCCGATCTAAAGGTTCCAAAATTTCTGGGAATTCTTGCAATGGAGCCTGTACCTGAAGGGTACCTTTCCTCCTTTGACAATGACCACAGGACTTAACGAAGTTAATGACCTCTGTTAACATACCGGGGAAGAAAAAGAGTGACTTGGCTTTCATGTGAGTTTTAAAAATCCCCGGATGACCTGCAATCTTAGACGAATGTGCGAGTTTCAACGCCGACTTCTTCAACTCCTCTGGGATAACCAACTGAAAAACTGCACGATCCTGCTGTCCCTTTACATAAAATAAGACCCCATCCTTCATTTCAAAATCATGAATTGCTAAATTACGTTTCTTCGACGGATATTTTCCTCCCCAGATCATTACAGCCCTGGGAAAGGTAGCTGGCAGCTCTGGGGCTTCAAGTTGTTTCAATAACAATATAAGTCAAGGACGTCTCGAATTATGACAAATTGCTAAATTATGAAAAATTTTAATGTTTGACTCTTGATGCAACATTATGATAAGCATGAATGTTTGACCCCTGATGCAACATTATGACAAACTTTAATGTTTGACCCCTGATGCAACATTGTGACAATCATTAATGTTTGACCCCTGATGCAACATTATGATAAGCATTAATGTTTGACCCCTGATGCAACATTGTGGCAAACTTTAATGTTTGACCCCTGATGCAACATTGTGACAATCATTAATGTTTGACCCCTGATGCAACATTATGATAAGCATTAATGTTGGACCCCTGATGCAACATTGTGACAAACTTTAATGTTGGACCCTTGATGCAACATTATAAAAAACTTTATTGTTGGACCCCTGATGCAACATTATTGTTAATCAATATATTTAGTTAACCTCTAAATATATCTCGGGTAAGACCGGTCCTCCAAATACCATATTGTGTACGTGTTGAAAATCGTCACTGAACTAATACATAACGAAACCAACCAACCAACCTGTTACCTATAAACAATTTCCATCTTGCATAAAAGTTATAATCTGAAATGAATATTAGAAAAACAAGTTGAGTTAAATCTTTACATGTTTAATGAATAAATCCACAAGGGCCGTGATGAAGGTTCGAACCTACGTCCGACAGAATCCCAGACGCGCCTTAATCGACTGTGCCACGACAGGTTAAAAGAATTGCAACCGGGAGTGCATCTGCCCTCACGAATCCTGCAGTTTTTCAGTGACACAAACCAGGGTTTTACACAATTCCCAATACACCTTGTGTGAGAGGATGGTCTCTCAAGATTCTCCCACAGCTGACTTGAATGGGTCATTGCAGTGTACAGTGCACCGATCTCGTGCACAAGCCCCATCTCTATTAACCCTGGATAGAAATCTGTCATGTTGTGTGTCCCCAGGAAGCCCACATAACCAGGAATACTCATAAAATACGGAGGCCGCCATATGCCCAAGAGTAAATTAGATACAGATGAATTTAGCATACTTGCCATAGGGTCAGTGAGTACACAGTGGAGGAGCCAAGCGTGAGAAAGGGAGGGGACGCCAGCGAGTCGACACATAAGATCTGACTTCTGGGGTCAGCCTCATCCACCGCGCGATGGAGAATAACAACTGTGACGTGGTCGTGACGTGTCCATGACGTCACCTCTGGTATTAATCATGTAACGATCCATATCACTGGTTCCGGCACCTCTGCTACAACGCCATTGGTCAATTGTAGACCTTATGTTTGTGCCCACGAGGAGCCCTGCATCCCCTTGCAAGGGTATTCACATGAGGAAGTTGTATATGGTGGGTCGTGTCCTTCTGTCTATTCGGCCATTAGACTGAACACCATCCATTCCTCACCGTCAAGTTAAACTCAGTGTCTTTTCGATATACCAACGCTCGCCAGGAATCGCGATCGTGAATATATTGTTTAGAAGCCTTCTAGTGACAAATCACCAGAGCGAAACAAACTGGTATCAGGTAACCCTCGGTGACAAATTGAGATCGTCTGTGAGAAAACTAAAGTGACTTAAGGAGTGCCGCTGCCTAAGTAATCTATGTGTGACGTTTGCCACAGTGTACCTGTATGGTACCATATAATCAGTCGCCGCCAGCCGCCACTCAGACCAGAGCGTGTAGCCAGCCGCCGCCACTCGCTCTGCCCTCAGTGTACTACGTGAGTCACCACCCGTCACACCCTTACTCACCGCCAGTGCCATCAAGTGTGTGTATGTGTGTTTGTCTGTCTGTCTGTTAAGCATACAGCACGCCCTCCTCTGCGAGTACCCTCCGTGTCAAGTACAGTTTGCTGGGAAAGCCTGTCGTCAATGGTCTCACGTCATGGCGAGTGAAACCAGCTGCCAGGCCACCTACGAGTTCTTGCATAAATGTGCACGAGTCATTGAGTTAATGGGAGAGGTAGCCTACCTGTAAGTACAAGATCTTGTTACTGTATTATTGTGTCTGTGTGTTGATCTGAGGGATCAACCACAGTTCTCACCTTCTCGTACCTGAGACAGGTATAGGTGGAGACATAGACACCTGACGGTGTATGCGTGTTTATATGTGTGGTACTACGACATTACACTCGTCTGTGAATGTGAGCTTCACATACACCACACATTTAGTTATTGTGTGACGTAATTATTGTGCATGATTATTGCCTGTCCCATTGACAGTGATTTATTGTGCATGTTCATCATTACCCGAGTATCCGGTGGGAACTCCTGTGACTCTGTGCACACCGGCAGTTAGGGTTGCAGTGTTAATGATTGGCTGTCAATTGTGTTAAATTAGGTGTTTCTCCACGAGTGGATCCGAATCGATTAGCCAGACGTCAAGAGTCTCGCTAATGCAACCATAGCCTTTCTGACGCCAATCTAAAGTAAATCAAGCACCCTTTGTATTAGTAGATAAGTTAGTAAATAAACTACTGTTAAACTTTATGCGGTGTATCCGTTGAACCACTTCTGAATACTGCCAACTATTACTCAAGCTTTCAGCTTCAGGTGCCTTCAACACTTAGTTGCCTATTATTCACTAAACTATAAATGTGATGAGGACCCTAGGAGTCCCTTAAAGTGTTTCAAGCATTGAGGAGATTCCAACGATCAACGTGGACCAGGACCAGGTGAGGCTACTCTGAAAAGAGACCCTCAAGGACTCGACCTTGGTCCCAGGTCCTGTACGGTTGCTCTCGTATTTTCTCTGGTGATTCCGACAGCTTCGTGAAGCGTCTGCCACATGTACATTGGTGACATACGCATTGCAATCGGGAAAGCAAAATAGAAAACCCCACACCTGGGCTCTGACAATAAGCTCTTCTATCTCTTCGCCCTTATTTCATTACACACAGAAATTACAATAGCGTAATGCATCAAATGAACAAATCATCTGGGATCCTCTCGAACGCAGGTTCGAACCCTCGTGACGGGTGTCGGAAAATCCGACACCATTTAATAATAATATCATACAGACAGATAATTGCTGCTGTATTGTATAAACAAGTTACCCATAGAAAATGTAACTGTAGTGGAATTTCCGTCTATAGAAAACGGGATATCATCACCACATACTATTATAAATTCACCAGCTATTCTGCTGGGAATTATTCTTAAATACATTAGTCTTTGGACTTTACCATCATAAAAACATCTCCTATAAACTAACTTAATTATCAGAATTAAAGTAGAGTAAATGTGACCCTGCTATCACTTACTGTCATCTGGACAATGTAGGCCAGTAGCGTGAGGGTGAGGGAGGGGCAGCCATTGTTTTGTATTGAGAGCACAGAGGCTCACGGGAGCAAATTCTGCTCCTGTTAATTCTCTTGGACGAAGTGTTATGGAAGATCAGAGTAGCGATCTGCCATCATCAACACGCTGTCATCAATTTCAAGGGAAGTGTCTTTCCGAAACCCGTTTATCTTTCATTTATGGCCATTAATGTCAGTGGATATAGGGTGTTCCGGTTAGAGCACGAGATAGCCTCATACTAAAGGTAATTAAGCCAGGTCTTCATGGTTACTTGTACAGTGTTTTCTCTGATATAGCTGTCATATACTAGGATTCTGGCTTCTTAGCTAGTGCCCTTTTGACAGGTCAAGACGAGGAAGCATGCTTTGTGCATCAGTTACCAGGGTGATGGATGCTACCTCAAAGAGGGAAAATGTGGTGTCTACATCCTGGTTATACCTGGTGGACTAAGGCCTGCTGTACAAATAAGATAAGGAACCTCTTCAATGTATGTAGTCTAATACTGTAGTTTGATTGGCTGCATATATATAAATTCAATTAATATAAACCCCCTCTAATGTGTAGAGGATCGATTTGTGAGATTATGAGATTATTGCAGAAATACAGTCCACTTATCATCATACAAATTGCTATCGAAGTATATAAATTAACGTAAATATAAATTCACATAAATTAAATAAATATAAATCTCACAGGTCGGTTCCCACAACGGCCCTTGTGTATTTGTTCAATTGATGCACCACGTTATTGTGATTTTTGTGTGTAATTTACGTCTTTACTTATGTTTAAAATAAAAATTACCATCCTTATCAAAACTGGCAACGATATTTTAAAGTTAAAAACAAACGATTTACATAATAATATTGTGAAATTATTATATAAATATCCGAATAAGTAATTATAAATGGAAACGTACAAATAAAAGAACCATATTTATAATAAATAGTTGAAAACATCAAGATGTTTTCAAGCCAACGTCATAAATAACCAGCATATGTCTGCTTGCACACAAAAGAAAAAATGCTTGCAGACCAATGGCCAGGGAGTCTAACCTGTTGCTCTCAATGCGAGCAGAATAGCTAGTCAACTTTTAGAGAAGAGAGAGTGGACCGGAAAGGGAATTATCAACGACAACTTGTAACTCTGCTACCTACAGCGGGCTACCTACAGCGGGCTACCTACAGCGGGCTACCTACAGCGGGCTTCCTACAGCGGGCTTCCTACAGCGGGCTTCCTACAGCGGTCTACCGCTCCTACAGCTGCTACCTTCAGCGGGCTATCTACAGTGGACTACCTACAGCTGGCTACCTACAGCGGGCTACCTACAGCGGTCTACCTACAGCGGGCGGGTTGCAATACACAATACAGCGGGCTACCTACAGCGGGCTACCTACAGCGGGCTTCCTACAGCGGTCTACCGCTCCTACAGCTGCTACCTTCAGCGGGCTATCTACAGTGGACTACCTACAGCTGGCTACCTACAGCGGGCTACCTACAGCGGTCTACCTACAGCGGGCGGGTTGCAATACGCAATACAGCGGGCTACCTACAGCGGTCTACCTACAGCGGGCGGGTTGCAATACAGCAGGCTACCTACAGCGGTCTCCCTACAGTGATCAACCCACAGCGGGCTACCTACAGCGGTCTACCTACAACGGGCTTCCTACAGTGGTCTACCTACAGGGGTCTACCTACAGCGGTCTACCTACAGCGGTCTACCTACAGCGGGCTATCTATAGCGGGCTATCTATAGCGGTCTACCTACAGCGGGCTACCTACAGCGGGCTTCCTACAGCGGTCTACCGCTCCTACAGCTGCTACCTTCAGCGGGCTATCTACAGTGGACTACCTACAGCTGGCAACCAACAGCGGGCTACCTACAGCGGTCTACCTACAGCGGGCGGGTTGCAATACGCAATACAGCGGGCTACCTACAGCGATCTACCTACAGCGGGCGGGTTGCAATACAGCAGGCTACCTACAGCGGTCTACCTACAGCGATCAACCCACAGCGGGCTACCTACAGCGGTCTACCTACAACGGGCTTCCTACAGTGGTCTACCTATAGGGGTCTACCTACAGCGGTCTACCTACAGCGGTCTACCTACAGCGGGCTATCTATAGCGGGCTATCTATAGCGGTCTAGCTACAGCGGTCTATCTACAGCGGTCTATCTACAGCGGGCTATCTATAGCGGGCTACCTACAGCGGTTTACCTATAGCGGGCTACCTACAGCGGGCTATCTACAGCGGTCTACCTAAACGGGCTACCTACAGTGGTCTACCTACAACGGGCTATCTACAGCGGTTTATCTACAGCGGACTACCTACAGTGGGTTACCTACAGCGGGCTATTTACAGCGGGCTACCTACAGCGGGCTATCTACAGTGGGCTACCTACAGCGGGCTATCTACAGCGGGCTACCTACAGCGGGCAACTTACAGCGGGTTATCTACAGTGGGCTACCTACAGTGGGCTTCCTACAGCGGGCTATCTACAGCGGGCTACCTACAGCGGGCTACTTACAGCGGGCTATCTACAGTGGGCTACCTACAGTGGGCTACTTACAGCGGGCTATGTACAGCGGGCTACCTACAGCGGGCTACCT